GATTTTCAATGAGACTGCTCGCCTCTTCCACACAGCTTTGGTTTGTGCGCTGTTTGGGTTGCTGTTTGTTTGGCACAACCTCAAGCACCTGACCCATTGCAGCCTCTTCAAGTGCCTCCTCTTCGAAGATGTCCAAACTGTCCGCGTTTGCCTAGAATTCCGAACGGATCACTAAACAGCTTAGTTTTTAGTTTTGTAATATGTTACTTACGTCCAACCCAATGTTGGCAGTAGCATCACCCTCATCCTCAATGGTAAAATCGACCATTTCAGCAGTTGTCTGCAATATACACCAATTTTATTATCACATTTATAATAACAACTTTGAATTTTGACAGACGTTACTCACCGACAAACCAATTTTGGGAGTGAGCCCATCACTGTCCACCATGTCGCTGGAAAAAAACTCCAAAATTTCCAGGTCCATGGCATCCAACGGTTTTGGACCGTCCTACAACGGCAGGTTTCCAGTTCGTCTGGCGAACGCTCTGTGGGCATTGTGCAGCTTCTTGACTGCCGATTTCCAGTCTATCCAACACTAAAAAAAATCAACACACATATGTAAATTGTAATGCTATACACAAGAATATTTTAATTTAACTTTTTGCCACTGATTAGGGGACTTGTGGGACCCTCCCAATGCATTTAATTCTGCAGCAACTTCATAAATTGGCCCCTTCCAACGCTGCGGTGCTGCTGCATTAAATGCAGTAACCGCCTCTTTTGGCCATTCGTAACACGCCCCGACGTTGTTCTCTGTAAAGAAAATGCATCAAATCTTTTTTAACTATTCATATATAATATATCAACAAAAATATACTTACATTTGCTTTAAATTTAATTTTAATTCCATTTTGAATATAACGAAACATTTTTTGGTCATCACTTCAAATGGAAGTGAGAAAATCAATCGACAGTATTTCATTCAATTTGGTTACAGAAACACATTCAATCGAGCATTCCTACTGAAATGGAATGGAACATATCAGCGGACTATCGATTGAACCGAGTAATTATTTTACAGAAACACATTGAGTGAGAGTGACGTCAAATCGAGAATTTGAGTCGAGAACATCGATCGAAATGGGTTACAGAAACGCACTACAGGTAACGGCCGCATGTGGGTAATAAACATCGAAAGAGATAAGTACAATTTTGTATCTTATATTAAATTATTTTACATACCTGCCTGTTTTTCCGCGGCAAATTTTTTTAAAATAAAATTATTTCCCCTAGCAATCCAGGCACAACGTGGTTACAAAAAATTTTATTTTGCCTTTGTGATTGGAGACATCAGCTGTTTTCCCCTATCTTTTTGTTATTTCTCTTTCTTTGTTTTGTTTTTTGCTTTCCCTTTCGATTTTGGCATTGCCAACCATCGAAAATTTAAATTAGGCTTAAGAGAAAGGGACTGAACAGACTAGTTGGCAAACTATTTTCGAGTGATTTATGGCCTCTGAGAATAGTTCTGGGTGTACACCAGAAAATCCTTTTAGGAGGATTTCAAAATTACAAGAACGCCGCCAAATGGCAAAAATGCGGAGTCCACCGTTGCTGGACCAATAAAAAATAGTGAATCTGCCGACAACGAGAACAACAGTGACAAATCCGATAGAGCGCAAAGTAGAGAACCTACTAATATTTTTTGCAAATTGGGCACAAAAATAAAGGAACTCGAAAATATGATGTCCGGACAGAGACACATGAACCAAGCCATGCGAGAGCTTGTAAACAGCATAACATACTTGTACGGTAAAACAGAAAATCCCGAAATCCATTCGAAAATAGTGATGGTAGGGAAAGCGTCCCAAGTATTGCCCCAAAATACCCCAAAAAGAGCACGGGAGACATCAGCCTTCCTACCACCTACGAAGAAGCCAAAAAACATGACTCAAAACCTGCAAGAAACCTTTAGTGAAGTCATAAAAACACTAAAGACACCGCAGCAAATAAACCAGCACCCGAGAAATGGGTAGAAGTGGCAAAAAAGAAGAAAGCCCGTGGAGAAGAGAATTAGGTCGGATGAGATAACTACTCCAGAAGAAATTTGCTGCGCATTACAAAAAGAGTGCGGAGTACAAAACATAGGTACAGCTAATGTTGAAAATATGCGGAAAATAATAGGGCTAAAATAGCCCTTATATCCATGCGTGCCCAAGACTGCCCTTAAAGTTGGCAAAGTAAAGATTGGGTGGTCGATCTGTAGCCTTCGGGAGTACTCCCCTGTTTCCCGCTGTTACAGATGCTTCCATCCAGGCCACATGGCGTGTAAATGTTGCAGTCTGATCGACAGGTTCTCTCTTTGCACATGTTGTGGAAGCGCGGGGCATGTTGCAAAAGTATGCACTAACACACTGAGTTGCATGCTCTGCAAAGGAGAACATTCGGTTCTAAGCACGACTTGCCCCAAATACGTGGAGTTGCTAGAGACAATGGAGAAATGAGAATATTGCAGCTGAACCTAAACCACTGCGTTACAGCGCAAGCCTTGCTGCAACAAACCGTAATAGAAAGAAACATTGATGTCGCCTTACAGAGTGAGCAATACTCCCAACGTTCGGAAAGCACTTGGATTACAGACAGAAGCGGCAAAGCAGCAGTATGGTCCTGCAAAAATGGCTTGACTGGGCGCAAATAGGGGGAATGTATTACGTAAGCTGCTATGCTCATCCCAGTGCGTCTGTTAGAGAATTTGAAGACTTCCTCCTGAAATTATCCTTAGAAAGCAGAGGAAAATCGCCGATAATAATGGCAGACGATTTTATCGCATGCTCTACTGCCTGGGGAAGCAGAAGTTCAAACCATCGTGGGCGCCTAGTTTTAGAATTCCTGAGCCAAACCAACCTCACAATAATGAGCAGTGGCACAAAAAATTCTTACCAAAAAGGAAATAAAGGCTCTGCAATAGACCTGATGTTTGCAAATGACGAACTAAGCAGACACATTATGTGGAAGGTGTCAGACATGTTCACAAATAGTGACCATATGGCAATCATCGCAGAAGTTTTATTCTCTCGAGAGCAGGAACCCCCATGCAGTAACACCACACATAAACGAAGCTGGAAACAAACAGATTTTGACACTGACGTTTTGGAGACAGTCTGGACTGCAGCAATAGCATTTCAGGCGAAGGCGTCGTCCACGTAGTAACCGCATTGCAAAAGGAACTTATAGCAGCATGTGACCCTACAATGCGAAGAATAAAATGTCGCAATAAGCGAAGACCTGTATACTGGTGGAATGAAGAAATTGCCACGCTGAGAAAGCTCTGTCACTCAGCCCGACGTCGCCTACAACGCAATCAAAGTGGCGAGAACGAAAACTGTGTCAAAAAAGCCTTTAAAAACCATAAGAAACTTCTAAAGTCAGCTATAATCCGTAGCAAGAGAAACTGTTTTAAAAAGATCTGTAAAGCAGCGAATAGAGACCCTTCACCTCCACTGGTTACCGAAGAAGAACTATTTGCCATAGCTAAAAGAACCGAAAACAACAAAGCGCCTGGTATCGATGGCATACCAAATAGAGCTCTAAAGGTAGCCATAAGCTCGAAGCCCACTCTTTTCACAAAAATGTACAACGCATGTAAAAAAGAGGGATGTTCCCCGATCCCTGGGATCCAACTCTGCTAAATGGAAAAATATATTCGAAGCCCTATATTTAATACGCGCCCCTCTGTACCTCATAAATATCGTTATTTAAGTTATTTTAAAAATAGAAAGCGGATCTACGCCACCACCGAAGGCATCAGACTTACCCTATTAAAAGCGGAGTACCACAAGGATCTCTTTTAGACCCTATCTTATTGAATTTAGTTTATGATGGGGTGTTAAGAATTCTACAGCCTAAAAACGTTAAGTTAATCGCATACGCGGACGACCTTATAGCGGTAGCAGTAGGTAAACAACTTGAAGACCTACAAAATAAATGTAATGAACGCATAAATTGTGTACCCCAATGGTTTTCTTCCAAGAGTTTGTAACTGGCTGAGCACAAAACAGAGGTATTGCTTATAAGACAAATTGAGGAAAAAATAACTCTCACTATAGGAGAGTGTAACCACAGTTAAAGTATTTAGGGGCAATATTGGACTCCAAACTGAAATTCAAGCAGCACTTTTCAAACATAGCAAATAAGATTTAGAACGCGTTATCAAGAATGATGGCAAATAGAGGCTGTGTGCGCTCCAGCCGCCGACTTCTAATCGCAAAAGTTATGTACTCAGTTATACTATATGCAGCCCCAGTATGGATACAGGCACTAAACATAAAAACGTATGCCAAACCAATAAATGCGGTGCATAGACTCACGGCAATAAGAGTAACAAGAGCGTTCCGAACTATTTCCAGCGAAGCACCTGTATCAATAGACATCCAGGGTGACGAGCTCACGAGATTATATGAGCTATCTGGCCAATTACAGAAATCCAGAAACAGAGAGAGGAAAGAAAGAAGAGCGTAACTATATGGCAGCAAAGGTGGCAAACCTCAACTCAAAGACGGTGGACCCACAGACTTATACCTGACATCCATATGTGGATAAGTAGACAACATTGTAATCTGGATTTCCACCTGACCCAAATATTAAGCGGGCATGGGTGCCTCAGAGGCTATCTGTATAAATTTCAAAACGACGTAAGTCCGTATTGTTCGATGTGTTCGGAGTCAATAGAAGACTCTGAGCACATGTTCTTCCATTACCCTCGGTTTCTAAACATAAGGGAAAAGTTAGAAACAGCACTAGGTAGTAATTTAACGGTGGAAAATTTGACTGCACTTATGTGTCAGTCCTCTGAGAAGTGGAAAGCTGTTCGCGAAGCGGCAACTTCCATCATGACAATATTAAGACAGATACAGCAGAATAGACGTCAGTCCGTCTGTGCTATAGAGGAGACGTAAAATGTCTTGTCTCCGATGAAGTAATACCTTATCTGGTGGTTCCGTTTAGAGAGTCTTGAGTTGGGAGCAGGTTAGGTTTAGCGGATAAAAGTCCCGCACTCCGGCTTTCAATGCTTCCTCCTACTATAAAAAAAAACCATACTACTTCAAAGTCCACATTGGCATATATTACGCTATACCCCTTGGTTTTTGATTTACAAAAACAAGCAGGATTGAATATACAATATATTCATAGACTACATTAGCATATATCCCACATTCCCCTTGGTTGTTGATCAACAAAAACAAACAGAATTGTGTAAAATATAATAACCGTGCGATTCTGTACTGTGATACAGTCTCAAGTCTCTAAATTTGAGATTATAAATTATACAGAAACAGTCAAAAACGCTACTGCTTTCTTACCTTTTCCTTCCTTAGCGAGCAAAATGTGTCAAAAGTTGAGCAAGTGGTAAAAAGGCAGAAATCAGCCATCTTTGTTTGCTTCCATTTGAACAATGTTGCCATTCCTCAATACGCATATATAGTTTTGTAAACATCTAAGTTTTGAATTACAATTTTTCATAATATTAAATATCAAAACTGACAACAAAGTATTAAAAATAGTTTATATATTTATACATATTAGCCTTCGACTCTAATTTTGAGTTATTTTAAGAAAATTAAAAAACGTGGATTCCCACGGCATCGTACGGCAAAGAGAGAAGGGAGTACCGTTTCTCACTTTTCACTTACATTGTGCGCCCATTAGATAGGTCGTATCAGCTGACGCGGGCCACGATTCAACGTTTTTGACTGTTTCTGCTATTAGAGAAAATTTTTGAGACTTGAGACGATTTTGCTATTCGGAAAGTGACATTCACAAAATCTATTACATTTCATTATTCAGAGATGTTTTTACATTTGAATGAAAATAAATATGTCGATACAAATATTAAATTTTCTAAAACATAGTCAAAAAACATAATTATCAGTAAAAATAGGAATATATGTTCACTTTGTTTCATAATTTTTACGAAATTGATTTATTTT